AGACGTCGCCAAACACTGTATTCCAGGGGTGCGACTCCGTAGGGTGTTTTCATCTACTGATGATGGATCTCAGACCACTGATTACCCGATGGATACAGAGCCATATGTCCCGCGGGGTACAGAGCCATATGTCCCTTCAGACGCAGAGTCATACATTCCGCTGCAAACAGAGACAACACCAGCTTGAGTTCCCGCAAATGTTAAAATGAGGGAATATCCCTGACAGCCGCTAATCCTCAGTACAACGGAATATTACAAAATAAGTAAAGTAAACAAAAGGAATTTTGAATTCTGCAAAGAAGTGCAAGGAGAATTCATCAACATATTAGAAGGATTGGAATTATACACCAGAGACTTCTCAGAAAGTGATGAATGAAACATTCTCGACTGCATTTTTGACCTGAGAGATAGAGGTCGAGTAGGTCTGCTTATGGAAAGAACCTATTCCGAGCCAAGAAAGTGGATGCGAGGAAAGGGGATGATCACTATCCAGTGCGGCTGCTGTTACAACTTCACCAACGATAGACAAGGAAATCCTCTTGGGATTCTCAGACGCTTATGGAATGACCCTATCCCGAGCCAAGAAAGTGGATGTGAGGAAAGGGGAGGATCACTATCCAGTGCGACTGCTGTTACAACTTCACCAACGATAGACAAGGAAATCCTCCTGGGATTCTCAGACACGATCAGGTGGATCCACTACCTCCAATGATAGAATAGATGATTAAAAGAATGGTCCGATGGAGCATGCTGTCAGCTGACTGTATTCCTAACAGCTGTATTATCAACATATATGATGAATGAGACTACATACCTCCGCACATTGGCCATCATGACTTTGTGAAACATTTCCGCACGGTCTTATTCATGAGCAAAAACAATATTCTATTTGGAAAAGAAATAGATGTTATTGGCCCTGGTGAATTCAGAGGATCCGTGGAAATACCGCTACTTGTTGGTTCAGTGCTAGTCCTTAAAGGGAACGGAGCAGACGTCGCCAAACACTGTATTCCAGGGGTGCGACACCGTAGGGTGTTCGTGACCTTTCGACGAATGGATAACAGCAAAATATCATATGGATTCCGACTAGACCCGGAGCTGGAAGAACTACTACCATACGAGCTATGAGAGGGTTGCACCTCTAAGTACATGCGAAGGGAACTCTTGTCCTGGAGCGTGGCTTAGAAGGTCTGATCGATCAGAAGCTTGCCACGTCGGGGACAGACATTCAGAGGAATCCTTTCCTTTTTTCTGCATTTCCGTTACAGCAGATTAGAAATGCTCAGCCTATGATATGTACTTGGCATGAGATATTTTTGGATGTACTATGATGCAGCCAACATAATTGTACTTTTTGAGGCTTTGACTTATACTTAATCTGTAACATTTATTGGAGCAGATTAATGAAGTTTTTTTCAAAAATTTATCTGTTTGTTCAATTGCACTTCTGGTGTGACGGATAAAAGCCACGAATCATACGTTGGTTCGAAATCACAACGAACAAAGAACAAAACAACAAAAAAAACTTAAATAAAAATAACAAATAAACAAACAACAAAACAACCCCTTTTTGAAAAAATCAACCAACTAAAATTAAATTTTGAAAACATATTTTGAATTAAATATGATAAAAATAACATGAAAAGAAAATAAATCTGTTGAGTTGATTCTTTCGATTTCGAGGTCTCTTACTCTTTGCTCGCGCAACATAACTATTTTTGTCTACACTAATTCTCTTCACATCATCGCGGAATTTCACGTTCCCCACAAAGCCTCATAAAAATTTCAGAAATCTTCTTCAACAATGTTAACCTTATCACATGACACATATCTATGAATTCGACACCACAAATCCATACCTAAATTTCAATTCTCGTTTTGGAATCAGTTCCTAACTTCTGATTCCCTCATTTTGAGATCGGTCTTTAACTTCCAATCCTTTTTTCGAGATTGATACCTAAATTTCAATTATCATTTTGGAATCAACCCCTAACTGCTGATTCCCTCCTTTCGAGACCGGTCCCTAACTTTCGATCCTCATTTCGAGATTGATACCTAAATTTCAATTCTCATTTCGGAATCAGCCCCTAATTGTTGATTCTTTCCTTTCGAGGTCGGTCCGTAACTTCCGATCCTCTTTTTGAGATTGATCCCTAACTTTCAATTCTCATTTTTGGAGTCAGTCCTAACTTCTAATTCTCTCCTCCTTTCGAGGTCGGTCCTTAACTTCCGGCTCTCTCCTGAGATTGATCCTTAACTTTCAATTCTCATTTTGGAATCAGTCTTTAACTTCTGATTCTTTCCCTTTCGAGGTCGGTCCTTAACTTCCGAAGATTGATCCATAATTTTCAATTCTCATTTTTGGAATTAGTCCTTAACTTCTGATACCCTCCTTTTGAAATCGGTTCTTAACTTTTGACTCTCTCTTGAGATTGATCTTTAACTTACAATTCTCATTTTGGAGTCAGTCTTTAACTTCCGATTCTCTCCTATTGAGTTCGGTCCTTAACTTTCGGCTCTCTTTTGAGATTGATCCTTTACGTTCAATTCTCATTTTTGGAATCAGTCCTTAACTTCTGATTCCCTCCTTTTGAGGTCTGTCCCTAACTTCCGATCCTCTTTTTGAGATTGATCTTTAACTTTCAATTCTCATTTTTTGAATCAATCATTAACATCTGATTCCCTCATTTTGAGGTCGGCCCTTAACTTCTGACTCCATCTTGAGATTAATCATTAACTTTCAATTCTAATTTTTGGAATCAGTCCTTAACTTTTGATTCCCTCCTTTCGTGGTAGGTCCTTAAATTCCAACTCTCTCATGAGATTGATCCTTAACTTTCAATTATCATTTTGGAATCAGTCTTTAACTTCTGATTCCTTTCTTTTCGAGGTCGTCCTTATGTTCTGACTCTCTCACTTCTGATCCTCTTTTTGAAATTTGACTCTTAACTTTCAATTCTGATTTTTGAAACAGTCCTTAACTTCTGATTCCCCTTTCCTTTCGAGGTCGGTCCTTAACTTTCGACTCTCTTGAGATTGATCCTTAACTTTCAATTCTTATTTTGGAATCAGTCCTGAAATTCTGATTCCTTTCCTTTCGAGGTTGGTCCTTAACTTCCAGCTTTCTCTTGAGATTGATTCTTAACTTGTAATTGTCATTTTGGAATCAGTCCTCAACTTCTGATTCCCTCCTTTTTGAGGTTGGTCTTTAACTTCCGACCCTCTGCTGAAATTAATACCTAAATTTCAATTCCCACCCCGGGGTCAACACTTACATACTGATTCTCATCCTCTATAAATATTTGAAATTTGATAACTCAAACTAACTCTACAGTCCCCAGCGAGAGTTCCTACTTCTTGATTTCGATCAAATATTCATTTGTTAATTCCCTAGCGGAAACAAATATCACACACAATTTCACACCTCCTACGTCTGTTGACTTAGGAGTTTGTATTGGTCTTGTTGGTCTCGTCGGTCAACGCCAATACGCGCGGTGTGCTTGTCCAGCACAACACACCTATTAGGGGTCAATTTGTTGACCTCACTTTTAGTCGAGGTTTAGATTTTCCTCTTTAGTAGCCTAAGGTCTAGCCATAAGACTTTCCTATCGACTATTCTTAGCAAACTAGAAAAGGAACCCTCACCGTTAGAAATTCTAAACTCCTTGCTCAACTTGAGGCTCTACATATTGGTCCTGACCTCTAGCACTTAGTAGGTGGGGTCATTATGAGGGAGCTCAAGGAGAGTACCCATAGGACTGTTTGATTTTAGGGTTGACCTGGGTGTTTGTCTAGAGCTAAGGCACTCACTTGCACTCACCTTTACCCACAATCACTCACAACCCTAAACCCCAAAATTTCCTAATTTTGGTCCCTTGATCTTTTAGGAGACTCATATAGATGGTCCCTTAAACCTACTAGCCTTAGGCTAGGGTTTAGCTAAGACCAATACATAGAGGACCCAAATGGAGTTTCCATTGGTCCATAGCTCCATTATGGTGGTTAGCACCCAAATTCTACTAAAAATATCCAACTTGACCTTTTTGCCCCTGAACTCTCTCAAATTACCTAAGTACCCTTGAAACCCTAAATTTTCCCAAAATTCCTAAATTTACCCAAAATACCCAAAATTGTTCAAAAATCATTTCAAACCTTTTGAAAACATCCAAATTACACAAATCACAAAAAATTGTCAAATTTATCAAAATGCCCCTCCTTTGCCGAAAATTTCAAAATCCCAAAAAATTCTCAAAACCTTCAAAATATTCTCAATTTCATTTTTCTCAACTACCACATGACCTAATTTGACCAATTTGACCATTTTGACCAAAACACCCAAATTGCCTTTGAAGACCCAATTTCTCCAAATTTACCTAAAATGTCCATCAATTTGGTTCCAATCTTCCCCAATTTCATTCTTAAACTCAAATTCACCTTTCATATGACCAATTTAAACCAAATCCAAGTTTAATTGACCCATGCTTTGAGCCCAATTTTGATCTAAGTCAAACCCCTAATTTTGGCCCAATGACTTAATCCCACCAAATTAAACCTCATAGCCTACTCAGTTTGCCTCAATTTGAATCCTAAACTCTTCATAATATTCCTATACATCAAACTTGACCTTCAATTGACCTTGGTGATACCTCAATTTCATTTAATTTTAGCCCAAGTCCAAAAATCCTCAAATTTGCCCCAAATTGGCTGTCTCCAAATTCCACCAAATTGATTTCCTTAGCCCCAAAATTAGCACCCAATTTTTGTTGAAAACTCTTCATGATGTTCTTATTGACCATTTTCAACAATCAATTTGGACTTAGCTCAAGCCTAGCCCGATCTAGACCCAAGTCTAACCCAACATGCCCAAAGTGACCAAAATTCCAAAATCCTCCAAATTAATCATTTCAATCCTTCACCAAAAATCTTCATTACAATCATCTACACAATGTTGATCAATCAATTGGGCTCAAAGTCAT